TGAGTGGCTGTAAAAGTGGTAAACTGAGGCTTTCGGCAGAGTGGAAGCCACTTCAGATGGCTGGGGGCCTGCATGGATCGGAGCAATACACGCCGCCGATTGGTGTGGTGAGGCTGTTGCTGGATAAGGCGACGGATGTCAAGTGCGCCATCTACTCTTTATCCGGGATTATTTCTAATAGCCCGACAGGAATGTGGAGGCCGCCCTTGGTGGTAAAGTTCGTAGCATAAATTTATGTCTCCTTGGCCGAACTCAGCGCTCATATTTCGTAGAGTGACCCATATGTACGCGTCCAAGTCAACAACGTCACTAAAGGTAGAACCGAGGTTATTAACAACAGTATGTCTGATAATATTCGAGCGTCTTGCTACTCTAACTAACGATTCAGATCTCAACCCTATTTGGGATCAAATCGTGTATATCCCTGGTATGTTATATTTTTTTATCCTATTTTGGTTATTCATTACAATACGGCATATAGTTCATTCATTGAAGGAGGTTTGTGAAAACACCATTTTCAGAACTGTTATCTCATATGTGGACTTAGACCCTGATGTTGGAATGCATGGACTATCAACATTTGACCAGGGTATAAATCTTCACTACATAGTGGTGACACCCTCATTGACCCAGGATTTATAGGATCGCTCTTTGGGCTCTGTCGAACTTCTTGTCTCTGACCTCGCGAAGGAATCCGCAGACCATCGATATCCTTACGAATCAACAGGCGTAAAAAACGGAAATGATTCACTACGCTTGGATAAGGGCGGTGCCTTCAAAGGCAATTTGCACTACACTGCAACCTTTATTCCTGCACTCGCACTGAGGGGTGTCAAGTTTGACTCGTCCGGTAACCAGTTGCAGCGTGCTGCGGAGGAATCTCAGGACGAGGACGGTGGTATTGTCGATACTGGTTCTATATCATCTTCGGACGAGGAAGCACAGGCTGTTCCTGTTGGCATAACTGTTAAGCCCAAGAGGGACAGGGCTAAGAGTCAATCGGTTGATACAACCAAATCTAGGAAATCGGTCAGGACGGAAGACAGCGACAAGACAGCCTCAAGCCCCCGCGACGTCGAAGAGCCCGTTGAAGCAGGAGTGGACATGGAAATGGACGAGTTACTGACTCAACGTATGTCCATCCAATAATACTCAGTTGTTTCATGCCCTCACGGAGTTCAGAATCGGGCGTCATCGTATTCAACGTCATATCTGGCCAACTGGCCAGGAAAGCAAGGCTCGAGGTTCTCTTGGATGACGGCTACTGGCCTTCTTTCACTACTGTTAAGTCCAGCAGCACAAGCGCAAAATGGGAGTACGTCGGTGAAGGTTTTGTCAAAGAGCTCGATTTCGGCAAGGTTTGGCTAAGACTAAACGAAACCGATGATGATGAGAAGGAGGCGATCGTCGCAGAATGGAAGGGTGATGCGAAGGCATTCTTACAGTCCACTATGGTAAGCGAATACCTGTGCTGGAGCGATATAAAATTTCAACATTATTTGTAGACCGGGCCCCAGAAATTCGTCTTGCATGGCAACGATGACCGGCCTAGCTCCTCCGTTATGATCGAAGCCCGATATGTGCCTGTACCCGTCAAGTTGGAGGCCAGGGAAAGTGTTAACAGTACATTTTCCCTCACCCCGGACCTCCCAAATTTATTACTGACCTTGTTTCATAGATCAAGGCGTTCTTCGTGTGGATCTCCTGAATGGACAGGAAATTCGTGGTGTCGATCGGGGAGGTTAGTTGCTCATGTAAACCAAATTCACATCATATTTACAACCCGACAGGCAAATCCGACCCATTTGCTATCTTCACCTTAAACGGTCAGAAGGTGTACAAATCACAAACGAAGAAGAAAACATTGACACCTGAATGGAATGAAAACTTCGATGTTTCAGTGGTAGGTTTTTGTGTTGGAATTGTTCCCAGTATCAGACCAACTTTGTTCTCTGTAGCCATCCAGAGTCGCCGCCGACTTTTCTATCGAAATCTTCGATTGGAACCAACTCGAACAGGCGAAAAGCCTGGGATCCGCCAAGATCGAACTTGCTGACATTGAGCCATTCCAAGCTTCAGAGCGCGTGATCAACCTTACCTCCAAACATGGGGACAAGGGTCAGGTCAATATACGGCTCCTATTCCATCCTGAAATTATTGCCAAATCACGCAAGAATACATCGACCTTCTCCACAGCGGGTCGCGCGATGACCCAGCTGGGTGGATTCCCTGTTAACGCTGGGAAAGGCGTTCTTCATGGCGTCACTGGCGTATTCCACAAGAAAGGGAATGGAAATAACCAAGAGCCCGAATCCCCTCCTCCACCCGAACTCCCATCTGGCCAAGCGTCCCAGCCTGTAGGTCAATCAGAGAATTTGGAAGCCGGGGCGACAACATTCCCAAGTTCTGAGTCGAAGGCGTCAGCAGAAGGTCGCTCAACTGAACCGGGCACGCTTCGAGTAACTGTACTAGATGCTAAGGATCTAGTGGGCGAAGTCAAAGCATATATTACCCTCCGTGTAGGAGACAAGGAATTCAAAACAAAACATACTAGCAAGACGGCAACGCCGGAATGGTAGGCTTTCACAGCTACATTCCAGACAATCGCTGAGATAATTTGACATAAGGAATGAGTCGTTCGTATTCGCGGCTGGTTCATTCACCCCCAAACTTTATGCCTGGGTACATGAACACAAAACGCTTGGTAAAGACAAGGATATCGGTGATGGTGAAATTGATGTGTGTCCACAAGCCTTGTGCTCCTTCAATCGTCTAAAGTAACCCTTCCCCAGATCTGGCGCCATATCAAACCCGAGGGTGTCTCAGCCGCTGACGTCTTCCTGGAACTACGCCAAGGGAATGGGCTCCTGCGTGTTCGCCTCGAATTCGATGCCAGCTCAAATCCCTTCAGCAGTGGTAGCTCATATCTTCCGGTGAACGAATTTCTCGAACGGTATCAATCGCTTCACCATCGCGATTCAGCATTCGGGGAAAGGCCTGATCACGATGACTGATCACGTTTGGACGTGGACAAGGGCTCTAACCAACCTACTCTCATCTTACTTCAACCTATTCAGCTCCTCTTGTGGGGTATGTAACTCACATTATGCTACGAATCATCAAGCAAAGGAATGATCCTCGATTGATAATTTATACCATATGGACGACCTTTTCTACACACGAACCACTTCGCCTCGTACATATTCATCGATGTATTACAATTTACAAGTCAACCATTGATCCCTAGTTGTTGCTGATCTTTTTTCAAATCGTGATTAGGATGAGCTGCTGCCATAAAACGAAGAACGAATAGGTGCTCTCTGCCCGCGCGGCGCTGTAGAACGACCTACAATGTATTATGTCTTGATCTACCGGCCAAAAAAGTCTGCTTACATCACTGTGAAGGCCATAGGATTCCCGCATCCTCTGGGAAATGCCCAACACATCGTTTTGCTTCAGAGCAACAAGATAAAAATACGCATTGGGGGCCATTAGGTCCTAGATCTAACGGTCAATTTTTGACCCTTCCGAGAATGCACCCTCCAAATGCAAACCTTAACTGTTGAAAGGAATTGGTCGGTCACTTGCATACCATCCGTACCCCCTGCCCACGAGCCGCGAATGTCTCGGATGTCTTGGGCGGAGGCGACCTCATCGGTAATGGTAGGCACATACGGTGGGTTAAAGATAATAAGGTCAACTGTATGGTTGAGACGCTGAGCCAGAGGCAAGGCAAATGATGCATTAATGCAATCGAGGTACACCTGGCTTGGTTTGAACTAGGGGATTAGTGGACAAGGACAGGGACATACGCGATTACGGAAACCAGTGGAAAAGCTGCATCGGCTGGCGTGGGGATTGATGTCCGTACATAAGTATACTAGATTATCCTTATGATACTACATGAAAGTGGCCAGGTAAAAGGAGACCCACATGTCGATGAACCGAGAATTTTGCCCACGAATGTTGATACGCAGCCTGAGCCCGAACTTGAAATGACGATCAATCAACTAATCAAAAAAAAACGCCGATGCTACCCAATCTCAAGGCAAATTGATGGATTCAAGCCCTTCAACTCTTCTGCATCTGCCTCCAACGCGTCCAAAAGGAGAAATGTATCTTCTACCCTAGTTTGATGTCATGTAAGGCTGGACATGCAAAGAGTAGTAAAACCACAGACCTGCAGGCTCGTATACGTGCTCATAATCCTCCGCAGATATATGCGAAAGATCAGGTGTAGGTAACATTTCAGTTGACCATAGTCGAGTCGATTATTACCGAAGCCATGATCCCATTTTATTTGAGCATATTTACATGAGATATACATCGGGTTGTGCGCCAAATAAGGCCCCATAGGAACTCGAAATCAGCAAGGACAAGGGCTTCCCCGGCTCAGCATACCAGTGAATCCCCACTGTAAAAATCTACAAAGGCCGAGTCAAGGACAGACCTCCCAGACGAGGCCTAACTTTTGTGTAAAGCCTAGCTTCTACTGGTTTGCACAGGGCTCTTTGAATATGAAGTGTGTAAAGGGCAGCATTCTTCTGGCGGGGAGATCTCCAAAGCACAGCTAGGGGTAGTGAAAATCTATTTTTCCGTGTTTATTCAACACTTGGGCTGGGTAAGATGGACTTTCAGACGTGCAGAGGCGGGGGACGGTTGATGGGAGCGTCAAATAATCTGGATTATTTGCGATTACTATATATGGGAATAATTCAGGATTACAATCTAGCTGATTGTTTTCGCCGAACAGGGCCTCACAGCTTGTTTGAAATTTAAATTTATTCGTTTATTCATCAACAGACACTGAGATGCCTGTCGTTCGAAACTTAGGCACCCTTTGCATCAGCAAAACAAAACATCACTACAGCCACTATGGCCACTATGGTACACTATAAACAAATAGACATATACTATGGACTACTATAGAGTAGTCCATAGCGTTGTTGTGTTTTGCTGATGTGTGTGGCCATCTGTGCATGTAAAGGAAGAAATCAAAAAGGCACTGCCAGGGCTCGAACCTGGGTTACGAGAAATCGTGAAATCAAAACCTCGAGTGATAACCACTACACTACAGCGCCTTGTGCTCAGGGGCAGGGCGTTCATATATTATTCTGACGGGCAATGCCGGAGTTACGTCATGTGTTTCAAAAGTTTGGGGACCGACATGTCATAATTATTTCTTGACCGCGACTGCCACCGCGTCTGCGTGCCATTTGTTTACGAATAATGTCTCAAGGTGCCATTCATATTTTATTTCTGGGCATTCATCTGATGCTCGTCTCCAGAAAAGCCAGCTTCTATTGTTCCCCTCCTCTCTAGGGCTTTACATAGAATCCGCACGACACCCCCTCGCATCATTGCATCTCCTCCTACCCGTGAGTTTATTATTGAGTGCGTTCTATGGCCTTTATAATAGCTAGTAGAGCCTCGCAGAGCAGCTGTAGCGCTTCTAATCCGTGTTGTACCATCCCAAGTCACTCCTGCTCAGGCAGAACCATCAACCCAGCCCACCCTCTCCGAATTCTTTGAACTCGATTGGGTCAATGATCCCAATGCGCGACCAGAAATCCTATTCCTCCAGCGGGATAATTCTACTCATGATGACGCCTCACTGGCCCAGACCCGTGTCCGTAACACCAACGAAGCCCACGTCGCATTCCCTGGTGGACGCACCGAAGCGGACGACGAAGGTGGTCTTTATACAGGTTCGTATGCAAGCTCATTTCATTTCATAACTATCTTGCTCATATGCCCCACAAGCTATGCGACAGACCTGGGAGGAAATTGGTATTGACCTGGCCGAACGTCACTACACCTGTGTGGGTCAACTCGACGACCGCGAAATTACGACTTCACTTGGGAAACGCCTCCTTATGATCCTATCACCCTTTGTTTTCCTTCAACTCACACCACACGCTCCGCTTCCCGACCCTGCACCTGCCACGACATTACACTGGACACCCCTGGCATCTCTTGTTTCCCAGCAAAATCCACCTACTTGGTCAACGGTTGCTGTAGATGCCGCATCGCGCCTCGCTCCGAAACACTCCACAACACTCCGCGTTTTGGTTCGCCTCCTTGTAGGTACTATGGAATTTCCGGCCATCGTTCTTCAACCTACCCTCAATACGCTCCCCTCTGTGTCCGGGCCTCAAAAGGATTCTGTCCACTACGATGTTCTTGAAAAGGGAATTGGGGTTCGCGCTTCCCTTCGTCCGCAGCAGCTAAAACTTTGGGGTCTATCACTTGGTATGACACTCGATCTGATGTCATACATGATCCTACCTGCCCCTGTCTCCACCGCCAACAGCGCCGCTGCCCATCGAGAGTCCGCGAATTCATCCCCACTGTCACCTGTGATGCAATTACCGTATCAAGCAGGCATGGACGGACTTAGGATGGACGTTGTAGCTCCAAGTTTGGCGAGTGTATTCCCGCGCTTCTCATATCCAGATGTCAATTTCTGGATTTGGTGAGATTTCATTCATTTTTTTTCGTACGTATCCGGCTGATGCCATATGGTTGTCAGGGTGTTTGGGAAACGGTACCGCGAGGTTGTCCGTGGCTGGGAAGCGAGTGTGCGCGCAGGCGGAACAAATGATCGTAGAATTAATTGGTCCGGCTCTGCCTTGAGTACATTCTACGCAGCCATCCGAAAAGCGCTCGTTGTGGTCATTGTTGCCCGCGCATTGGGTATTTTATTTGGCATCGCATTTGCGGGATGGTGGCTACTTTCCCATTAGCCCAAGATTTGTGCATAGAATGGACTAGGGTGGATTCAGATTTTGTTAGTGTTCTCTCGTTTTTTCGCCTTCCCCCCTCAACTCGGAGAGATAGGCTGTGGCTTGGTTCAAGTAGATGAACGATATGAAATACAACGATAAATACCTTATTATTGATCATGATTCTTCTTACCATTATAGGCTGTAGATGTTGTCGTGACCGACGAACCCTTTGATCTTTGATGTATTACAGTTCAACTAAAGAGTGGGCTGATTGATCAATGGACACTGACTCAATCTGGATGAATGGCTATGCGAAACTTGTGTTGGACACTTATGGATGTGCGGGCTATCTTGTAACACGCTTGATAATGGGACGGAATGGTGTGGGTTGATAGCCCACAAGGCCGATGGCTTCCAGGTCAAACAACCTCACCAGTCGCCAACTAGTCCCCTCAGCAAGACTTTATAGTTAAAGAATCAGTCCCCGGTGGGTGGACTTGTGGAAAGGGAGAATAGCAGTACCTTCTCAGACACTCATCTCCGAGCCGGATGCCCAGGCATTATACAGAAGTTGGCTATTTATCAGCATCGTTCTTAACTGAGTGGGCGCACTGCTTTGGTGGATCTTGTATTTTGTTCATACACCGAATATTCACATTACAACGGCAACCCGCACACCTCACAATCGCCTCCGCCATGGTCATTTTCGACTGTACAATGTGGGCAGATCCGTATGCCCCGCACTCCACTCGATACTCCTCCGCCCACCCCACCTGAGCTTGCGGCCTCCGCCGCTGCGATCTGATCAAATACCTCCTGTGGGATATCCTCGTCCATATGTGATGTGGAGTTTGGGGCAGATGATGAGGGCCGGGCTGCTAGAGTTGGGTAGCACCGCTCAGGAGAAAAACAAAGTGAACGTTCAGAAGGGACATACGAGCAGTTTCACGGGTAAATGTCATCAGCGTTTGCCAGCTATCCGAGGCAAGGACGGGGTCGAGTTGTGATAAATCTTCGAAAAGGCTGGGGAGTGTCGTGGTCCTTATAAGAATCTTCATATCTTCCTGTAATGTGTACAATATTACACATAATCGATGCAACAGAAAACAATGGCAACCCACGGGCGAGAATAACTGTGTTGTTCCTAAAAATGCAATGAGGTGCCAGTCGCTGAGCCAATTCGCAAGCTCGACGCGTTTCTGGGTGTCTCCCGACGCGGAAACTTTACTGCTTTGTATACTTGGGGCACCGATTGTTGCGAGGGAGCTCATAACTTGTTCAATACGCTGGTCCTCTAGCCCTGGCCGGTTTTCAATATTGAATCGAATCGAACGGAACATCGGTGCCGGATTTTGAGGGAAGCCATGGGTGACCTATTCGAGTTGATTATGAATGGATTTCAATAAACATCATAACGGAACAAACCCACATTAAGCATCAGATATTCTACAGGAAAACATGGTTTCGCGCTCTTCTTGACCTCGAGGCCATACTCGTTTTTGTACGTGAAAAATACGTCCGGGACATACCGTGCTGATCCTTGGGTCCTGTCTTCTTCTTTTACTCTTACCGTACCCGGGTCAACACTAGCTTCAATCATGTCGGCTTCAACCATGGCAACTGCCTGCTCTGAGACCTGGTACGCGCTCACGTCTATTTGGCCATCCTCTGTAGCCGTCAGGATAGCAGTTACGAGGCGGGATGCGAACTGTCCTGTTGGCGACGATCTGGAAATTGTTGGGTTGGCCTTCTGCATTGTCGCAGCAAAAATGGCTTCCAGAGACGATAGGAAGAAAGAGCCCGGATGTCTCTTATATATATTCTTGGTGCGGTCTTCGGGCGTTGGGTCAAGGTCAGTAAAAACGTATCCTACCACAGTCAGAGGGGAGGCCGCCGAGGCTGAGAGCTCGCGTATACGGGACTCCTCATCCCATGGTAAACCCAGAGTAAGGCCATCGAGCTCTCCTTCCTGTGGAGGCTCATATATCGCCTCAACGACGGCTTTTACACCCATTGGAACTTTGTCGTATGCCTCGTACCTCCCAATAAGCCACCCAAATCTTTGTAGACCAGTCTTCCGCCACGCCTGTAGGAATCGGTCTACAATTTCCATAGATGCGATCTCAAGGTGATCAACCATCCGAAATGGCTGAGATTGGAGGGTAATGGCAGAGGGCTGACAGGATGTACAGATACCGGCAGGCCATGCTGGATGCCCAGCACTTGGGCATGGAACCTTCACTTTATAGGATAATGGGCTGAGCGGGGGAAGGGTTGAAGCAGCCGAAGCTGATGGTTTGGGTGTAATTTTATGTAGGTAGGCGTGATACGATAAGTGTTTAATGGCGTGTTCTTTGTGGTACGCGGCGTCGTATGGTTCCAAGGGCATGCAGTAATCACACATCCCGTTCGAGCCGTGTTTACAAAAACGTGAATCACGACCTCGGGGAATCTTTCCTGTTTGTGATCGCCAATAGGTATCCACCGGGTCCTCCTGTACAAGCTCCCATGGTCGCTTGGCGGCAGCATCGGTATTTGATGGGTCAGTCAATGTGGATGGCGAGGGTTCGATAGGTTGAGATGCTATTTTTGATTGATACGCAACGAATAATAAATCTCCGTGACTTTTCCCAAGTTAGTCGAAACTTGCTACATTGGTGGACTGGACATACTTCAACCCAAGACTCTTTATAGTTCTCCCCTTCAGCAGAGCTAAGTTCGTCTCATTTCCCCGGGGCTGATCGGATATGGTTACACTTTTCGGGTCAGCATTGGCTGTTGTTTCCAGGATCTACTGGATCTTCAGTACTCGATAGTTGCTATTTCAGGGTGCAGACCTTGGCCAATAGCTCTGATGCATCATCAGTCGGGCTCAGCTCAAAGCGATAGTTCCCATCTCTCGATCTTATCCTGACCAGCTGTCCGTATTTTAGTAAAGACAAGTAAAAGAGACGGATACAAGAGTACCATGATCGTAGTTCAGGTTAAGTAAACGCGAAAGGGCACTGTAATAGATAGTACGCGTAATGCTGACTAATCAACTCCTCCCAAAGTGACTAAGTTTGTGAGCCAACTACTATCGGGCACATCATGATGAAGGGTGCGGGACCTACTATAGTTGTATCGTTTTAGCTTGATCCTACATGCATGGATATTTGCTGATATCCAAGCCTCCTCCCCATGCAATCACGGCCGGCAGCCGGGCCGGTTTTTTGCGATCGTCGACATGGCGAATTCCTGGGTTTAGACCACCTTACAACGTTTTAAATCTCAGCATGGTTTGGGTACCGGGTTCGCGGCCGGGCTGTTAGATTTGACGCGACTTATCACCTATCTAACCAGATAATTATTAG